TACTTGGCGCTCAACTATTGGATATAATTTAATTTATTATTATCATTTATAAATAAACTGACTACCCACCTATTACTAATTAAATCCTACCCAATTAATAAATAAATTATAATATCAAAATCACCCTAAATACTACTAAAATACGATGAAATTACGTATTTTTACAAAAGACATCCAATATTATCTGAGTCCAAATCGAAGCCTAAATTAAATTTAGCTTGAGCCGCTTATTTAAAAGGTCACTTCCAATACGATTCTCTTTTAAGCTTGAATTCGAAATTTATGATTAAAGGTAAACAAGTAGTACATCCCTAATTAATTCATGTACTTTTTTAATATAATAAATATTTATTATTTGTTTTAAATATTTAAACTTGAATATATTATTTTTAAATAAGTTATCTATTAAGTAAAACCGCATAATTGAGACGAGGAATAATTAAGATGAACATAGACATGCTTTTAAGTTTATTGGTAATTTTTATTTAGACACTTGAATTATAATATGTTTTGATTGGGGACTTGAATGTATGATAATGCACTTCTATGGACATTTATGCTCAAATTTTTAGAAACACTCATTGGCACTAGCTTTCATGTTGTTGCATTAGTAATGGAGCAGGTTTATTACTTGGGTGGGGTTTAATAGTAATGGTTGGGTAGTAGATTGATTTATAAATTATATTTATAGGTTAAATTATAACAAATAGTTGAGTGTCACGTATTAAAAAAATATTTACATAGTTTAAATTTAATACTGTTAAATAAGTGGTCAATTTTGAACACGAAGATTGATGACAAAGGTACTTTGGAGCCAATAGGTGAATGAGAAAGGAATTTTGGAGCCAATAGGTGGATGAAGGATAGTTTTGTACCATTTTCAATATTTCAAGGGTATTTTAGGCCCTTTTCCGTTCCTTTTCCTATTCTTCATTTATTTATTATTATTTTCTAATTACTTATTCAACTTTTATACTCTTAATATCCATAACTCTAATCTTTTCATATATTAATAACCTTCAAATATTTAAACTAAAACTTTAATATATCTTTTGATATTCCTTCTATTCTATCTATATAAATTCAACTTCTTTATCTCATGAAACCCTTACCAAGATTATTACGCTATTATTTTTATTCTATAGTTAAAATAGATGAAGAAGACTCTTGAACTTTGATAGGATATGGAAGGAGGTTATAAGAGTTCAGAGAGTTATTTACTAATTTTGTACTTATTTTTTCATCTATATATACATTAGCCTTATAAGAAAAATATTGCATTGTATTTTTCTTAAATATGTTTCTTTTGTCTTTTTCTCTATTAGACTTCTTAATTTAGTTTTTTTATGAATCTTTTATTGTTGTACTTCTTTATTCTTATTTTGCAATTGTTGCATTTTATTATTCCTTACAATTTACATATATATTTTCATGAAATTTTAGTCATTCTAACATATCTATGAAAATTTACATGAAACACGCGTGTGAAGCACGTTCTCAGAAACTACTAATTGTATAAATATTTTTTTGTCATTTACCAGCCAATATATACTTAATTGGTAATATTAGCAACAAAAGATGTGCGTTAGTAATATTTCAGCTACTAATCCAGTGATAGGATGTTGCTAAATTTGGCGCTATTTTTTCCCGTCGTATTTACCAACTAACATACTTAGTGAGATTTTGGTTGGTAATCTGTTAGAGTTTCGTTGTTAAGTTTTACAATATAATTCTGTTAGAAATAGGTTGGTAATTTGTTAGTAAGATACTAACCAACTTAAGTTGTTATTAAAATTTATTGGAAATTTGAGATTTTAAAAAAAAATAAAGACTTTGAGAATGATATATTCTTACTCATGTACTTCTTTTTTGTTACATGTTAGTTCATTAACAAACCAGTATGATGAAGAAAAGAAAGGATAATCTTGAAAGAGAATCTTCATGCAGCTACATATAATTGTTATTGCCAAAATAGAGGAATATAAAAGATATCATATCCCATAGTGTAAGCTAAATTACATTTTATTCCTATTTTTTTATTTTACTGAAATTTCTTAAAATTTCAATCATTCGGATACATAAGTTTCATTTGGATACATTAATTGTGGTACATTATAAAACTTTTCTATTGCACTTAATATGAAATATTAACGTAAAATTGATTTTTTCCCCCACAAATCACACAGAATTGATTTTCTTTCCGATAAATTATGCATAACTAATTGATATCAATTCATTCCAATCTATATAACTCTACAAAAATTTAAAATCAAATTTTTATATGATTGGACATACGATTCATGGTTTGAAATCATCAAATTCGAAATCGTCATTGAGAATAAAAGAACCGCTCAAAGCGTAACAAAGAGACGGGTGCTTCTTTTGGTGGTTTTAGCAAATGGGTTGAAACTATTTCCAAGAAACAATTTTGTAAATTTAGTTCTTGGAGAAAGAGATGAAAATATTGTTGTAAATGAAATTTGACACTAAAATAGGGTCATTTTTTGTGGAAGATAAAGAATAAATCAAGTGTTCCGGTAATAAATTTATAGACGAAATGAAGTTGAAGAAGGAATTATTGATACAATAAATATGGAGAAACGAATTGAGTCCCAACGGAATTAATAAATTAATAATTAAAATCTTTTCTCCTTGTCCACCGAAGAATCTTTTAAACTTATCGAATTGTATTGATACAACATAAACATATAAATCTTGTTGATACATTTCACATTCTGAGAAAGTGAGGTGAGGTATACAATAATGATGAAATTGTTGTTAGTTAAAATATTGATTCTGTGAATCTCAAGTCAGTCATTGCAGGTGAGTTAGAGATCGATGAATTGAGAAAAAAATTTGAAGATCTGATAAATTGTTGATGTGAAGAAACAAGAGGCTAAATTTCAATGTATCAGCTATGTATTGATACAATAGACAAAAAGGCTGAAGAGATACATAGTTTTGATGGATCATCCATACCTTTTATAATGTTGTGTAATCATTTTTTATGTGTCTTTTCGAGATAAATAGATTTATCAATACATTACTATATATGTATCTTGTTTAAATTGATTGTATTTCTAATAGATACATTAAATAAGTAATTGTTGTCCGCAAGATTTTAGGTTTGAGATCGATACATTAATGTATGAATTGTGATAGTTGTTATGTATTAGATATATTTTTATATATTTAGTATAAATTTAATTTACGTATCGTGCGAAAAAATTAGTGCATGATACATTACTATTGATGTATCTTTTCTTCTTTTTTTTGTGAAATATTGTATTTTATAAAAAGATACATTGTACATGTAATTGTTTTCAATAACCTTTTTTTTTTTGTGATACATAACACAATAATGAGTTGATATGCATATGATCCATGTAATAAAGTTTTAAAATTGTTGAATTGTATATTATACATTGTTTCATGTACATATCAATTAATTTGATACACGGTGCTTTATCTATAGAAATTATGTACAAGTATATTTATTGATTAATTCATACAAGTAAATAACCTTTAAATTTAAATACATCTAAAATTTAACACTATTGATATATAACAACTTTGGATATATGGTAGATTATACAATTTGTACACAATATATATAGCATGATGGAATTATAATGAATCATAATGTTAAAAGAAATGCATTATACACTATTTTAAGAAAATAAAAATAACTTGATACACTAAATATATGAATTCATATCTTTCTCAACATATATCAATAATGTATCAGATTGTTGTTGTGTTTGTGGGTAGTCCATTGAATGCACAATAAAAACTTTGTCAATACATTGTCATAGAAAGTCTACCAACAACGACATTTGGAGGAGGACGAGATGAACCCCAAAATCTCATATCAGTAAGATAATAAGGGAATGATTTTAGAAAATTACATGAATCAGTTGGGATTGTGGATCCAACCATACACGTTCTCCGCTAGCACTTTTACGTGTGTGTTGGATCTCCCAGACTTTATCTGATATGTCTTTTTTTCCTGATAGTGAATCTCTCTACAATATAATTCAATATAAGGAAAAGACACAAGAACATGTATGTGTAGTAACACGAGAAAATTGTATTTTCACCTTAGATTCTTCTACTTCTGTAAATGATCTTGTACCACAAGAATGCTAAGTTATTTGTTTTTTTTCTATTCTTTTTGTTTCTTTCACTGATAATCTGCAGTAAGACAACATCTAAGAAAATATTTATTCAAAGAGAAAACTAGCATTCTTCCATGCTAAGTATTTTCTAAATTCAATAACTCAATTTATTAATTAAATTACCTTGAATTTCTCACTGTCAAAATTCTTAATTAAGTATTTCCACTCCTCAACTCAACATCCTCAAGACGATTAAACAATCTGTCTTCGTCCGTACTATAGGCAGAATAATGATTATGTAATCTATCTTTCCAAGCTCTAAAGAGTCTTTGCATTGTGCTTATCACAAAGCCTTGAAGCTTATATTCTCATAGCCCACCACAAACTTCAAATTTGTCCTGAACAAATTGTAATTTGAATTTGATAATTCAAGTAATATAACAGAAACACAACTTTGAAAGTGATTTATTACCTTGACCTTATTATACCACATTGCTTCTCCATATTTTGAAACAATATTCTTCTTGTTTCCATCTTGAAACGAGGTATTGATCCTCAGTTTCAAGCCTAAGTAATTAACAATATCTCTAGCCTCAGAACCCCCAACTCTATCAATATCATCTAGAATGATTACACTTCTTTCCCTCCATACTTAGTTTTAATATCAATAGTTTCAGATTTATATTTCCCTCTTCCTCTCTTCCTATAGATGCGAGAAACTGCAAAGAATAAATTATCAGTATAAGAAATGTATTAGTGAATATTCATATAATAAATTATCATAATGTATACTAGTTTTCATAGTTACTTCACCAATATAAATTCAGGACCCCAAATTTTTGTCATAAAGGGTTTTGAGTCTTTTGAAATTCTGTTACAAAGTTAACACATCAAACCACACTCAATTGTTATATCGATAAGAACATTTAACAAACTCTACTTTGTGCTAGAGATTCATTGTTGTAACATGGTTATACACTTGAATAAGAATGAAACAATAACTAGCTCTACATTCTTGATAAAATTGATATACACTCGTATTACAGCACCCAATATACTTGCAAAAAGAAAAACTATCACATGAGAATCAAAATCAACATCCTGTTGTCAACTGTGTTGGACCAACTTCACCCATCATGTGCTGAAGTTGCTTGATATTAAGCAATTGAGTCTATCTACTAGGGTGGTATATGAACTAGCATATACCAATTTCAACCTCTATGGAAGGACGAATACTTTCTTCTAGATTTATTGATTATTGTCCCTGGAGATGTTCTTTGGAGAGGATCACTTGATATTTGTTCCACTTGTAGACGTCGTTGACTTGGGTTAGGTGTCTGTCCTGTCTCCAATTATACTTCAGCAACTCTTATTTGTTGTATTGTTGGCTGAGATGTAGTACCAAAATGTTCACGTTCTTAGAAATTTTCACGTCCACCTCCTGCACCATCTCTTCCACTATTACCTTTACGTCGTCCACGTCCTCGACCAATTCCTTTCATTTGCTAGAACATTATATATAAAAAGAGAAGTATCAGAATCAGAAATTAAAGCTTATTATATCTTCCTGCCAAGGAAAATATCGATTCATAAATCAGAGTATTATATTAAAAAAGTATGTGGGACACTTTACTAACAAGTATTGTTGTTCCATTGATAGAAATGTAAAGCGTTGATTCTACTTAAAATGTTGATTCTATTTACAAAGTTAAAGCTACAAAAGTCATGATCAATTTCATTTCATCCCAATAAGAACAAAATATAGAGAACTTATCAAACAAGAGTTAAACATCTTTTCAGTAGTCTTTGTTTCTCAATCTTCAAAAATATTCATCACTGCATTTTCCATCATTATCATCTAGTAACTCTTCTTCAGTATCTTCACTCACAGATACATCTGTATGATTTTCATTAATGAAATTATCTTTCTTATTTTCCATATCATTGGTACATAAAACAATTTATGGTTCAACATCATCCCTATGTAAATACACATGAATATCAGCTTCATGGTCATTGGGACACAAAATATTACATTCCACTTCCTCTTGTTGATAAGTTTCTTTATTCATTACTGCTTCTCCAACTTCAAGCATATTAAAAAGATCTCGAGGATTTGTCTTAACAACAACGAGCCAATCTTTGTCAACCATGTCTTTCAAATAGAATACTTTTTCATACTGAGATGCCAACACAAATGACTCATTTGTATTTAAGGCAGAATGAGTATTCACACTTGTAAAATCATATTTGTCAATCTTATATCCTCTTCCTAGGTGAGCCACATCCCAATAGTGACTCTTGAATAGATGAACCTTTTTATTTTCAACGTAGCGTAACTCGTAAATGTCATCTAATACACCATGATATTCCTTATTAGTGTCTGAATCATCTCCTCTCACAAGAACTCCATTGTTCTGTGTTTTTCTCACAAGTTCTTTTGTTTGGAACCTTAATCCATTCACCATAAATATTGAATATCGATGCACCAATTGTTCTGTACCTACAACTAAGCTTATGAGCTCATCAGTTGTGCGTCCTTGTGAAGCTAGTACAAATATCTAAAAAAAAGACTTTTTCATACTTAGATGTCAAAAATTTTAGTTAACTAAGTGTTATTCGTAAATTCTTACACGTGCACGAAACCAATCAATAAAATCATTATTCATAATTCCATGAGGTCTTGTTGAACCTTGTATTTCAATCTCTCTCATGTATTCCCTACATTTTGTGTTAGTTAATGTTAATTAAATTATGTTAATGTGAAATTAAATATGAATTAATAAGAGACTTACTCCATGAATGGTGAAACCTCTTCACAGTTTTGAAGAATATGCATAACTGCTTGGTTGAATTGATCGTGGGGTAGTTTCTTTCCATTAGAAGACCCCTTTGTTTGCCCACTTTTTTTAAAGATAGACATATCCCCGTTTGATTCAAATCCATCATCATTTCTTTCTGATTTATTGAACTTAGTTGAGATACTCTTAAAATAGTTTGAGAAAAATGTAATTCCTCATTTGCGTCATCACCTTCAACAATTGCACCTTCTGGATGAGCATGATTGTAAATATATGATTTAAGTGTTCACAAATATCTACAAATAGACTTCCCATTAATATAAGTATAAAATATGACATTTTAAACATATTGACATCAAAATTACAGAAGGATATGTTACCTCTCAATAGAGTACATATCCCGATATTGAACTGTCCATCAAGTTTTACCTCTCTAGCCAAGTGTATCAACAAATGAATCATGACATCAAAAAATAATGGAGGAAAACCATTTGAAGTTCACACAATATTATAGGAATTTCAGCCTCAATGATGGCAAAATCTTTAATTGTTAAGAACTTAGAGTATAGATTCTTGAAAAATTTTGTCTAAGGCTATAATTGCTTCACACACTTCCTTAGGCAATAAACCACATATAGCAACTGGTAAAATGTCTTGAAATAATACATGATGATCATGAGACTTCAACCAATTTATCTTTTTCTCAAGTACATTAACACACCTTGAAATATTTGGTGAAAAGGTATCGAAACCTTCAAATAAGCTAAGAATTCACATAGCTTGAACTTCTCCTGAGGGGACAGTGCATAGCACTGTTAACAAAATATTATCCCCATCCTCAATTGGATGCAACCCTTGCCTAATACAAAGGTCAACCAAATTATATCTACTTTTCCATGTGACTTTTGTCTTTTTAACAATACTCATCACATTTGATAAAATTTTACTAGACACATTTCTTTCTATGTGCATTATATCAAGGTTATGGCTTAACCTAAGACTGTTCCAGTAAGGCAATTGAAAAAAGATAATTTTCTTCCTCTAGTAATAAGCATTGGTAGAAACATTACGCTTTCTTTTTTGTCCTTTACCAAAACTCACATTGGCTAAATTTTGTAATTGTATAAGTGCTTCATCACCTGTTAAAGGTCTAGGTGCGACACCAATTCCACTTTCCCATCAACTAACACCCTATTTCTACTCCAAGGATGATTTCTGGGATAAAAGTGACGATGACCCATATAACACAACTTGTTGCGTAAGGCAATCAATTGTGTGTCTTTATGGAAACAAGGGCAAGCAAACTTTTCTTTTGGTTGACCGTATAGAAAGATCTTCATATGCAGTAAAGTCATTAATCATCCACATGAGAGCCACACGTATAAGAAAATTATATTTTGAGTGTGCATCATAAGTCTCCACCCCATCCCACAAATATTTCAACTCTTTAATCAATGGTTGTAAGTATACATCAATATTATTGCAAGGAGACTTACAGCCTAGAATAAGAAGTGTCATCATGAAATATGAAATTTTCATGCAAACCCATGGTGGCAAATTATATGAACTAGAATGACAGGCCAAATGCTATTATTGATACTCATATTTCCATAAGGTTGGAATCCATCTCTTGCTAAACTTAATCGGACATTTCTTAATTCATCTCAAAAAGTAGGATAACACTCATTGAAAGATTTCCACTCTATTGAGTCTGACGGATGGCGCATGACACCATTATAAACATTTTCTTCCTTGTGCCACTTCATTTTCTTTGATGTCTCCTTTTGCAATGCTAGTCTTTGAAGCCTTGGTTTGATAGGAAAATGTCGCAATACCTTATGAGCTACTTTCTTTCCTTTGTGTTCTTATGACGTCAATTTAGACTTACCACACTTAGGACATGATTGGGAATTGGCATAATCGCGCCAAAATAAGATAAAATCATTATGACATGCATCTATTTTGGTATACCCCATCCTAGGTCACGAAGAACTTTCGTTGCTTCATAGAAAGAAATAGGCACAAATGACCCATCGGAAAGAACTTCTTTAAAGAAGGTTAATAACTCATCCATCGATTTGTTGCTCCAATGATTAAGACACTTCAAGTGAAGTAATTTAACAATAAAAGACTGTGCAGCCAGGATAAAGTTCCTTTTAACGATTTGTAGAAATTTGTTGCATTGATATTTGGCTGTTCATTACCCTCTGAAGAATTTATATTATTCTCCACATTTGTATATGCACAAGCATCCTGAATCATTTCAGTAATGTCATCATCTTCATTGCTATTATTTTCTACTTCATCTTTACGGGTGACATTATAATTTTCAACTCTAGCTAACATTTTTACATACAAGTACCACACTTTATAAGAATCCCAGAAGCTCCGTTTTAATAAGTCTCCTCTTACATCAACTTTTAACTTGAACATTGTGTTCATACACCCTGTACAAGAACATCAATTCATAGTGTTCACTCCGGGTTTACTAAATGCCCAATTAAGAAAACCTTTCACTCCATCTCTATACCTATAATCAACTCTATTCCTAATATTTACCAACTTTTATCCATTCCTACTTTCAAGAAAAAAGCAATTAATTAATTAATTCAATTTGCGTAATGATAAACTTAACAAAAGTAACAAATACAAAAGAGAAAGATCAATTGAGGACCCATTTGCGAATCTGTTCGACTCTTGCTGCACAAAAAGGAATATCCAAAAGAATAAACAACAATTCAAAGTACCAATTTATATTTAAAAGGAGCTTATTTTCCGTGAAAATTATCCATAGAAAATCATGAATTGCATACAAGAATTATATTTCCAATAATGTTGATATGTCATAATTTAGCGTAAAAGAAAAAAATTACTAGAACAGAAAATTGTGAGATCATGCATGGACAGAGAAATCTGGATAAATAAAGTTAAAAATATCAGCAAAGAGGAGGCTAGACAAGAATTGAAAATAAATGAGTAGTGATTTTTCTATGGCATACCTAATGATGAAAATCAAAGAATACACAAATATCAAAGTTTGCTAGAAAGATGTAGACCACAATCCGGCCAAGATTGTTCGAAAAATTACCTGAAAAATTCAGCAAAACAAAAAAGAAGCTTAAGTTGTGAGGATATTAAAAGAAAGTAAGTAGGTAAAAATAAAAATACAACATAAATATCAAAAAATTGAATCTAAACGAGGTCTATTGGATTTAGGAGTGTGAAAAAAAATATTTACGATGTCCCCGAGCTACTCTACACTAAATGTACAGAATCCCACAAGAAATCGCCAAGGAAATATCTGTCCAATCCACTAAATAAATAAGAACACACTAGTGACTTGATTGTTGTTATTGTTGCTACGGTAAAGTAGAAAATGGGTCACCAATGCGAGGATGAATGTATTGACCGACTCTATAGGAGCAGACGTTGGATCCGTAGGCGAGGTTGTTTTTGCGACCATGACTTTACAGGGTCGAGTATTGGTGACCTAGTCACCCTCGCATGGGCAACCACTTCTTTGTAGGATCGAGCCTTTATTTCGCAAGAGCGGCTGCAGCAGCAAGTGTTGCACCAGCTCTTGTGATTCAAATTCTAAGTTTTGATCGGATTGAAAGCTCTATTTTAACTATAAGTAAGAAGATATCTTAAAATGAATTTGAAAGCCTTGAGACCTAAAAAAAGTAATTCTACACCAAATCCAAAATTCCAGAACTAACAAACCCATTAGAACTTCATTTCAAGGCCATTTAATAAAGTTACATACAAAGAGATTAAGCGGCCATGAATTCATATTCTTCAGTCATCATTATCTATATTTAACTTTAGTTAATCTAATCCAATAAGATCAAGAGCTCAGCATACGTATAGATACAACCAACCTAACACATCAACTGAAATAATAACAATTCAAGAACTTTAGCAAACCAAATCACAAACAAGATTTAATGTCTGGCATTACAAACTGTTAAAACTTTTTAGTAGGTTTCAGACATATTACCATGTATGTACACAAATCAAGTTCTATTGAAATAATAACAACACACATAGAACTACAATTTTCTTTTGAAACAACAGTTTATGTACATTTTTCTACATCAATATGAACATACAATTACTTAACAACATCTACAGATCGAGAATTTCAAAAAGAAAAATCTTCAATAAACCCAGAGAAAGAGATAACTCAAAACAACAGTGAAGATTCTGCATTGACAAAATATAAAAAATAACTAGACATTAACATGAGTGGCACCTTACAAGCTTTTGAGCATCTTCAAAGCTTCGAAAACATCAAAATCTTGCAGTGCTAATAAAAGATCAAACCGTCCTTCTTAAAACCTTCCAGAAACTTCTGATTTCTGTAGATTTTTGAGAACCTTTTGCTTTAAAACTTTAAAACACTTCAATCTGCTAAAGATTTATGAACGGGTTAAAGAAATAGAAGTAAGATTAGGGAAAAAACCATCTGAAAGAAATTTGAGCACTTACATAAAATAGTTCACATTCTGTGAAATTAGAAGTGTTTTAACAGATTTGAGAGTAACAATTGGAAGAATTTCTAAGAAAAGTTGAGCTAATGGAGACAAATGAAGCGGAAATTTGAGAATATGAGTTTTTGAATAGAAATTGAGCTAATGGAGAGAAAGAGTTGTGTACTTTTTCATAAGATATTTTCATTTGTTTTCTTTTTAAATTTTTATGTGTGTTAAATAAAATTGACCTATTAGGAGCGTCCATGTCACCACAAAATTCATTTAGATGCGACAACTTTTGGTATTAGTGGGAACAAATAATTGAGAATTAGCAACGACTTTTAGTGGCAAATTAGCATAACTCGCCACTAAATGTTTATCAATTGTGACGTCTTTATATGTCGCCACTGGATATTTAACTTTTGTAGCAACAAATAGGTTCGCCGCTAAATATTTCCACAATAATCTTGTTTCGTGTAGTGTTAGTTGAGTAACCTCAATACGGAATGAAGGGGTCTGACCCAGATGTATCAAAAAATGGAAGAAGAAAACAATGGTGAAGGCAAAACCCTACCTATTCGGATGTTTGAAATTGATTGATTTGAGAGAGAGAATCCTTTTGAAAATCAAATTAATTTGAAAATTGTAACTGCTAAAAACGTGGAGTGAATTTAGGGAGAGAAAACAAGAGTGAAAAGGGGAATATAAACGTTAGTTTGGTTACAGAGTCTTATGTATACGAAAGTTTTAAGAATTGGGAGAAATGAGGGATTTATGTAATATTTCAAAAAACTAGGCAAAATGGAGAAAAAGGTAAGTAAAGTTGTGTACATAAGTAATTTTTCCAAATATAAATGCAAATAGAGGCCATATAACCACTAAGGGTGGCAAACGGACCGGTTTTTGGCCAGTCCGGTCCGATTCCAGTTTGGTTCCCGTACCGGTCCGTCGGGTACCGGTTGAATCGGTAAGGAACCGATCTTTTGGTATACCGGAACGGTTCCCAATTTTTTATCCGGTTGAACCGGTTTGGTAAGAACCGGTTCCGGAACGGTCCGATCCGGTAAGAACCTGTTTAGTCGGTTTTTCAATTTTATTTATTAAGGTGACCATTTTATGAACGTTGGGCCCTTCTAGTTGTTGGGTTGTGGCCCAAAACGGTCAAATATCACCCCCACCCCTTTCTAACACCTTTACACTATAAATATACCCTTTTTCCATTTTAAATCACAAATTCACTAGTTATACAATCTCTCAAAGTCTCAATTTTAAATCTCTCATAAATTATTAATTATTATATTGTGATATTGAGTTGGAGTTTGAATTTCGGAATCTACAATAGGCATCTATCAAATCTGGCTTTGGTTATACGTCTATTTTTACGTAGAAGTTTGGTACATTTGTTCCAACTATCAACTTAATTGTTATTTGTTTATTAATTTAGCTGTTTTATCTCTTTTATTATATTATTTTGCTTGTTTTTCTCATAATATTTAATTATTTTAACATGAATTCGGAAAGAAATAGTTGTAAAAGACCAATGTCGGAATTAAAAAATAAAAAGGGAGGAGTAAGTAGTTCTTGTTCTAAAAATTTCTCACCTAGATATTTAGTTAATATTAATGATTATACTTGTGTTAATGAAACTTTTTTTACGTCACCAACACCTATTGAATTTAATTCTGAAAATGAAGTAGATCATGAGTCTTTAAATAGACATTATACTAATTTTGAGGAAGAATTAGAAGAAGAAGTAGAAATAAATGAGGAAGATGAAGAGACCCCTACCCCGACTAGTCTGGTTACCAAAGTCTCCCCTTTACCTACTTTTTCAATGTCGCCGTTGTACGTGTTAAAAGATCGTTTGTATGTAATTTTTTTATACAAAATGAGGAAAAAACTATTGTTACGTGCACTAAATGTAAATTGGTAATGAAACATGTAACTACGGGTACACAAGGGAGAACGGGACAACTAAGAACACATTTACGAAAGTGTAATAAAGAATTTGATCGTCTAGATGATATATAAAGATCTAATAGAAATGGAACACCCATACCCAAAAGTTCTATGGGTGTTGGAGGTTCTAATATGGTTCAAAGTTTATTAAATATGTCTAACCCGGCTAGACGAAGCACACACCGCACGTATAGTAAAGAAAAAGATCGTAGAGAATTAGCTAAAATGGTTGTTGTTTGTGGTTTACCTTTTTCATTTCCTTCACATCTTGGTTTTGTTCATTATATTTGAGAATTATATAACCCAGATTATGAAGGTATTCCAAAAAATACAATTAAAATTGATCTTTTTAAATATCAAAAAGAATATTCTCATTTTCTTTGTTGTTTATTTGCTTATTATGATGGTAGATTATCTATTACTTCTGATATGGGACGTAGTCCTAATAGTAACGATTATTTTACACTTACTATCCATTGGATTGACCATGAATGGAACATGCAAAAATGAATATTAGCGTATGAATATGTTGAAGAAACTAAAATCGGTTCTTATATAGCATCAAAAGTAGGCAATATTTTATAATATTATCGAATATGTGATAAAATAATGAGTGTCACTTTAGATAATGCTTCTAATAATTTAAGAGTCGTTGATTATTTAAAAAGTAGACTTTGTCCAAGTGATAATGATTGTTTTCGTATTAAGTGTGCCGGACATGTTTATAATTTAATAGTAAAAGATGGTATTTCTCAATTTGGAGTTTCTTGATAGCTAAAGTAAAAGCTAGAATCACAGAATTTAAAAATTGTTGTAATAAATGTGGACTTGCATATAGAAAAATTCCAAAAGAAATATGCACTAGATGGAATTCTTTATTTGAAATACTTCAAGTTGCTTATGTTTATCAAGAACCGCTTACAATTAGTTTTTAATGCTCATAATGCGGATCCGATTTTAAGAATTGACTTTGAAGATTGACAAAATACAAAGAAACTGATTGATTTTTTAAGTGTTTTTTTATAGAGCAACGAATGCATGTTCTGGTCAATGTTATCCTACTATTTCTTCTGTTTTAGTAAATATTTGTGCTATTTCATCTGAATTTGCTAAATATAAAGGAAAAGAACAATTTAAAGATTCACTTGCTTTTATGATTGAAAAATTCAAAAAAAAAATTTCCCTATTCCTCAAATCTATTTGACTGCTACTACTTTCAACTCAAATTATAAATTAAGAGGTGTTGAAAGAATGGTTGAAAAGATTTATATAAAGTTAGAAATTAAAGATGATGAAACTCCTAGTGTTGAACAATGTAAAAGTAGCATTTATACAAAAGTTAGAGATTTATATAATGCATATAAAGTTATGGAAAAAAATATTCCAATAGTTGAACCTTCATCTTCTAAGCCTAAAAGTGATGATACAGATGATTGGATGGATGAATATCTTGAGCTTGAATCTTCTACTAATAATGATTTTGATTTATATTTCAACCAGGCACGGGAAAAGATTAGGCATGAAGGAGGACAACTTCAACCTCGAATAAAAAAAGTGAAAATCAAATTCCGGCCCTTGCTAGGATTGTTCGAGATGTGCAAGCGATTCAAGCATCATCGGTCTCTTCAGAGCAAGCCTTTAGTGCGCCGAGATTTATGATTGGAGATCATCGATATTCATTAGCAAAAGACAGTTTGAAAATATCGGTGTTGTTTCAAGATTGGGTCAATGCCGAAAGAAGAAACACCGGACTACCATTATTAAGTAGCCATATAGAAGACCAAATAGATGAAATATTTAGTGAGAATAGTGATGATGGCATGGAAGCAATGGAAGAAGAACGACAAATGTCAATTCCAAAAAATCTTTCTTTTCAAATGATACTAAATTTACAAAAAGAATTTTAAAAAAATGCAATTGTTAGTATAATATTTAATATTCAATTCCTCCTAAATTATGTACTCTTATTCTCTTTCTAATATTTGTACTGTATAATTTAATTATTTGAATAAATATACGGCTATTCGCCTTGATTTTCTTTTATAATAGTCTCTTCTATTTAATTCATGTCATTTTATAAATTTAATTTTTAATTATTTTAATAAAAGTTTAAACTAAAACTTTAAATTCAATATAAACTTTAAAGTTTAAATTCAATTTAAAACTTTAAATTCAATATAAAGTTTAAAAAACATTAAATTCAATTTCAAACATAAGTTCAATATAAAACTTTAAATTCAATTTGAAACTTTAAAGTATAAATTCAATTTCAAGCTTATATAAACTTTAAAGTTTTCAATTGAAGTTTTTAATATAAATATATAATATTATATAATAATTAAAATAAAAAAAGGTACCAGATGAACCGGTAAGACCCTGTTCCAACCCGGTTCCAAACCAGTTACTAACGGACTGGGCGGAATAGGTTGATTTTTCCTGTAAATTCGGTACAACTAAGAAAATTCGGTAAGAAAAATATGGTTTCTAGTAAAACCGGTCCTGTTGACCCGGTCCTGTCCCTTTCTCCTAATAAGGCCTTTGCATTAGGCCCCCAAATTTCGGGGGCCTCAATTTTGTAAAGAATAAATTATGTGTTAAAATTTTTATAGAAATATTAATTATTTATGATAAAAAATATATATAATTTTTTTAAAATAAAATATTTTATCCACTTTACCATCTTTTTTACTTTTCTAAAAGTTAGAATTGACCGCAAAAAGTGTTACAAACTGAACCAAATTCTCTTTTATTTCTTTTAAATTTAAGTTTCAAGTATTACTCTAAGCATATTAAAATAAGGTATACCAGGTCACCAACTTTTTTTCTAAGGGCCCGTTTGGATGGGCTTAATAAAAGCAGCTTTAAAAAAGTACTTTTTAAAGTGCTGAAATTTATTTTTAAAATAAGCAGTTATGCGTTTGGAGAAAAGTGCAGAAGTTAAAAAAAAAGTTGTTGATGTGTTTAGCAAATAAGTGCTGATAAACAGCTTTTGAAATCAAAATGTCTAAAATACCCTTAAAAGTTGTTAACATAATAAAAGTTAATTAATTTATATTTTACCGCCATAAATAATTATATTTTGCTATCATTCACATATTTCTTTCTCATCACAAATTATTTATAAGAGGAATATAAACTTATTATAGATTTTAAAGATATATAATTTGAATGGATTAAAGAACGATTTAAGGTTTTATTTTAGTTTCATCCATAGGTAATAATAATT